AGTGGCAGACCTGCCAATTCTGGTGTTCAGTGGCAAATGCCATTCGAGCGCTATAGTGCTGGGCAATGAGCACAGGGCCCACTAGAGGACGTTGGGCCCTCAGGCTACCCTCATGAAGTCTATTTCTGATTGTTTGGTCAGGGACATTCACACCAGTGGCCTGCTGCAGGTCATTTTGTAGGGCTCTGGCAGTGCTTATCTTGTTCCTACTTGGACAAAAGAGCAGATACTGGTCCTGCTGATGAGTTAAGGACCTTCTACGCCCTATCCAGCTTTCCTACTAACTGCCTGTCTCCTGAAATCTCCTCCATGCTCTTGAGGTTGTGCTGGGATACACAGCAAACCTTCTGGTCTGTAAAAAAAATGTAAGTGGCCTTCACCTGTAAAACCATTCCTGTTTTGGGGGTCATCTCATTGTTGCCCATCTATTGCACCTGTTGTTAATTTCATTAACACCAAAGCAGCTGAAACTGATTAACATCCCCCTCTGCTACTTAACTGACCAGATCAATATCCCAAGAGTTTAATTGACTTGATGCTATACTCTGGTAAAAAGTGTTCCTTTAATTTTTTTGAGCAGTGCAGTTACACTGCTGTAGTGACAACGATCCGTGACAGATACTTTTATTAAAAGAAAAAAAAAAAAAAAAAATAGCTTTTCAGTGTGTAGTACAGTGCCCAGCAGCCATGTACCTCAATCTGTGATCTGCTGCATCAGGTAGACACAACAATCACAGTTTGCACCACTGCACAGTCCAGAAGAACAAGAAAGCTCCCTCCTGGTCATTTATATATAGTGGCCAGGCAGGAAGCGGTTAAAGTATAAGGCTTCCTGGGGAAATTATCTGCATACAGCTGATTCCAGCAGCAAGAATTGTGGCCAGGAAGCCTGTACAAAGCAATGACAGGCTGAGAGGAGTTGTTACTGTATATGCACACCCAGCGGATAGGGGCAGATGTCTGGCATTGGATGCAGAAAAACCATGGTAGGGGAGCTGGAGGACAGGGAGCTGCAATGTAAAGGTGCAGAGTGCTAGAGGATAACTGGGTTCCTCATGTGCCCAAATGTCTACTTGTACCCTGCAGGGAGGCTTCTTGGACTGATCCAATTCGTTATTGTGTAGGCTCCTGAACCGAATTACCTGTTGAGAAGAGGGCGTCAAGTTTGATCTGCACTATTGGCCATGTGATGAGTGGACTGATCTGTCTCTCCGGCCTATAGAAGTCTATTGGGTTCTACTGCGCAGGCAGCAGAACCCAGCATTTAGTGACAATGCTGCTGATCTCCTCTAACCTGCAGCAATCATCTCACATACCAGCAATCAACTGGTACAGGAAGTCTCCCTTCACTAATAATTTATGTTCAGCTCCCTTCAGTAGATCATGTGACAAGTATAAGCCAAAATATAATCAGTGACAGAAGACTTCCTGTGCTGGTAAGCAGTTACCATTATCTTCGAAGATCGCTGCAGATTAGAGGAGATCAGAAGCTCTGTCACTAAATGCCCAGTCCACTCTAGGGGTAGTGTGGCGTTTTTAAGATTGGGTAACTACCATACATGTGCCAGGTATTGGTGCCATTGTGGCTGAATCTGGAGACACTATGTGGTAGCATTGACTTAACTGTAGACCAGCACCATTCACAACAGTAGTACCCAATGGGGAAGCACACCAAGAGGTGTGCTTCTACTTTCTATCAGCTCACACCAATTGCTTATACCCCTTATATAACTTTTGCTACGGCTCACAAAAGCACTTTAATATCTTGCTTGGCAGTTTACACCGCCCTACTTCTGGTGTCTAGTCATAGAGCTGCAGCTTCGGTTGCTGGCTACACTCGCCAACATGCCTGCAACCCCCAACATGCTTAAGTCCCATCCTCCTTTCCCTCATACCTCCATTACACTGATGCCCATCTCTGCGCTAGCCAATATTGCTGTTATGGCTCTTCTGTATTGAGCTTACTGGGGGTGAGGTTGGGGGTTGCAGGCATGTTGGCGAACATGCCTGCAACCCCCAACCTCACCAATACGCTTAAGTCCCATCCTCCTTTCCCTCATACCTCCATTACACAGGGATGACCATCCCTGCGTTAGCCACTATTGCAGTGATGGCTCTTCTGTACTGAGCTCCTTCAACAAAAGAGCACAATTTTATTAGTTATTTAGTAAAAAAAACAATTTCTTGGCTGGAGTTTTGTATGTTTTTATTTCTGTACACATACAGTACAAATAATTTTGCGCTGATACAACCAGGTGACATGCACACATTTAGTTCGTAAGACATGTTTTTCAGTATTCCATTTGAAAGCTTGTGCTATGGATGTGTACCACCAAATTACTCCTGAATTGAAACAAAAAAATAAAATGAAATTCTTGTCTTAAAACACAGGGGGGATATGTAGGACTTCTCATCTCATAGGGATATTATTAAAAAATATATATTTTTTGCAAATCCAAACAGCAGGAGATGAAATTGCTTATAAATACATCCAGATTTTGGAACTAATCTGTGCATTAAAGTTCATTAAGGTTCCACAGATCCCAGAAAGCATTGGGCTGCAGCCAGGTATCCTTTAGCAATAACCTACAGCATTGTTTGTTTAGTTCTTTATTACGTTAATGCAAAAAAAATTGTCCCTTGTGTATTGGTAGCATGTGCCTGGAGGTGTACAATTAGTGTTCTCCTATAAAAAAAAAATAAAACAACTGGCGCAGTTGCTTTGTATGGCTGACCAGTTCAAACTATTGCAATGGCTCTTAAAATGATGGACATGATAGCAGGATTAATATTAGTGGTTTAAAAAGTCTACAGTACAATGCCTACAATTAATGAACAATTGTTTCAGGGGTACTATACAAAGAGGACATTAAAAGTTATCACTTTCATGACTGAAAACAAATGGATAGGATTGGTGTTTTGAACACCTAGTCTAAAATAGGCTAATTTCCTCCAAAAACACTCACGGTACACTTTAGAACACATTAGTCTTATAAGGTGCATCATATCCCCATCTTTTTTTTTTTTTTTTTTTTTTTTGTAAGAGAGGATGCAGTGCGCTTTAAGTCATCCCAACGGTAAAGTGGTCAACACTTAACAGTTCATTTAATGGCACTTCTTCCAGTTTGGTGAACCCATGGTTTTGGCTCTACAACATTTAGAAACATTTATTAAAATACTAACATTGAATTTCCATTTGTACAAACCCCCAACATCCCTCCCTCCAATTCACAAAACTAAACCGGCCAAAGGTTGATTAGTTTTTGTTTAGGACTTTTTGGGACTTTTCTCATGATGCGTCAAAATAGTCACCAAAAAGCATTGTTCACATTATATAATTAACAGTATTCAACTAGAAAGCACTAATGTAACAGTTTACAATGACTACACTTCCATGGATGTGTTCTGTACCTTTATGCCTTTATGAAGGCCCAGCTTATGGAAAAATGTTTCACTAATCTAACCTTGGCAGTTGGAATTCATTTTTCCTTTTTACTGCTGAAAAATATTTTTGCTTTTTTTTTTTTTTTTGTAATGCTGTCTTTAACAAGTTGACCAGTAACCCCAAAAAACATATATTACTATGTAATTCCTCTGCACCATGCTATACACTAGATTTACCTTGCATGTGCATTGTTTTATATCTGCACTACTACTTCCAGTAGCATTACCTATAAACCAACAAACCAGTATTGTATTATATCAATACCCAGTCCTGAATTGGGATCGAGAGGGCTTAGTGATCTTTGGATTAGTCAATAAGGCTCCCTACATGGAATCCTGAAACTCGAACATTTTTGAGAAAAAAAAAAAATCAACTGTTTATTTAAAGTACATTTTAAAGAGCCCTACTATTTCAATGCAAAATTTCACATTCTCCGATAAAAACAACATTGTCCATGTAATGGAACTTTCTTGCACTCTGGTGGTAGGGCTAAAAATCTGCTACATGTCAAGTGGGATTCCAGAGACCAAATAACCTTGCGGCAGTCACTAAAGCCAATTTGCATGATCTACATGGGAATCAGGACAGCTAAAGCATCACACAAAATATTCGTGTAATCATGTTCTTGTTGATGAAATCCAGATCCTGGCTACAATTAGCAGGTAACATTATGCTCATATGGGACGGAAGGATTCTGCAGAATTTGGCACGTATTTACCACACATCTCTAAAAGCATTCTCCCAAATGTCTTCAACGTCAAGACGTGAAACCTGAGGGATAACCATTAGGTGTGCTCGGTCACAGCTACATGTCATAGGAGGAACATATAGCAACCGACAGACTTCTTTCAAGGTAGTGGTATATATTTCATTTTCCAATTGGTCTGTATTGCTCAAGTATTTTAGAAAAAAATAAAAAAACTGAACTGTATTTGAACTTTGAGTCCATTCACTCAGTCCTTACTTATGTTTACGTACAGTGTAAATGTCCTTCACACTTTGTGCAAAAAGTCTTTTTTTTTCCTAGCCACTAGTGGGTAGAACCTCCCAGTGCTTAGACAAGTTGCCCCTTCATTGTGCCGGATTATTTCCAGCTAAAAGTATTTCTCGACACTTGAAACTGAGACCTACCCCCCACAACCAACGAGTCACAGTACTTTTATTTTAAATGCTATGTGGGCAACTTCTGCATTTGTTAAGAGAAAGAAATATAGGATGGAAGATGGAGGATGGGATCCTAAATATGAAAAGTTTTGCCAATTAATCAGATTATTTTTGCTCAAGTATGGTTGCAGTAGACTTATCTTGTGACCAACTGGAGTGACACAAAACACAAGTATATTGGTGGATAGGGTATAATATTTGGAAATGCTTTTTTTCCTGGAATTTGCTTCAAACAATTCCATCTTGGTGCTTTTTTCCTCAGGTTGACAAGGTTTAGAAGCCAAGTAGGAGGGTGCCCCAGTGTTAGACAATCCTGTGGTTGGCCTTTACGACCTGTGCAAAGGGGAAACAAATAATAAATATATGATGTTCTTCCATGGGACTTGTCCAGCTATGCTGACTTGATCCCGTTGACAGTTGTGTTTTCAGACACCCCATCTCCCATGGCTGCAGAGTCATGGAGGCCAGAGTAGTCCTTGAGTTCTGAGTTTGTTAACAAGAGAGGCTGCTCTCCTTTCTTGTGAGGTAGGAGAGGCTGTCGAGTGTAATGCTCTCCATCAGGGATGTTCTCTGGTAGATTTTGGTTCTTACTCTCAGGCAGCAGAAGAATGCAAATTATACAGATCAGTGTGCAACAAGCAAAGATGACATGATGTAAGAAGTATCCCTTCTGATTATGAAGCTCCATGATCGGGGCTGTTAACATTCCAAAACCAGCACTGGCTAGAACCAGTCCAAGGCCGCCACATCTATGGGATAGAAAAAAAGGAAACAGATTTTTAATTAGACATGGTTTCACACTGGCAAGAAAGGCTTTTTTTCCCTGCATATTAAAGAATAATGAACACATACAACTGCATCCAGCCAAACAGATAAAGCCAAGTTTAGCATGCCATATACTGTATGAACACATCCTAAAACACGATTATATGCAATCAAAAAACAAGAAAAAAAGAGAATTGGAACCAGAGCACTAAGATCTGCTTAAAGTTTCTTTCTAAAGATGACATGTATTGGTGGCACACCTACAGGAATACTGTTATTCAATTTTCTCCACATCAAAGATAACATTTTCAGCAATAGGTTGAATGATTTCTGTTTGAAACCTGTTTAAAGTGTTACTAAACCCAGGACCCTGCATTCTCTATATCTTGCCTCCCACAGTACACACAACATGGAAATGCAATTATTTTAGTAAATATAAACTGCTAAATACCTTTTCTCAGCAGTAGTTAGAGCAGTCTTGTGACTTCTATCAGTGTCCGGCCGAGCACTGGTAGAAACTTGTAGGAGAAGTTTTTATTCTGCTCTGCCTGTCCTATGAGGCTGCATAATGCCTGACCCTCTGTCTGTACAGTGCGGATTGCCCCTGTGCTGATCACATACCCCCCCCCAAAAAAAAAAACCCTCTCTAGCTATACACACCAAACTGAGCATGTGCAGAGTGCCTCCCAGGGCTCTGTTCCATCAGCAGATGGATTGGGGACTGTGGAAGAAGGGGAGGATCAGAGAGACCAGACTCGGTTTTTTTTTTTTACACAATGCAGAGGATTAACCCCACAGGGAGTATAACAAGCATGCTTTACTGCATCTACAGACTGATTTTACTGTTGTGGGTTTAGTAACACTTTAAGAGGGTAAAGGGGATCTACAAACCCCAGGACTAGCACAAAGAAAAGCAGACACTCATTAGATGTATATGAAGGGCAAAAGTGGACTGAGAAAAATTCCAGTTTTCTTAGGATTTAATTATTTCTGAGTGACTAACCAGAAACAAGCATATGCAAGAGGAATCAAAACACAAATAGGAACCACCTGATTCCAACAAAAAGGGGGCCTTTAAAGGTACTGTAATCAAGGCAGAAACAATACAATTATTATAACATATAACATTTTTTATTGGTGCTTTGCAGCTGACACCTGTGCTGGAGGAAGCATTTTACATAAGTGACTGGCTGTATCATTGGCTGGTGTTGGGCCTGTCATGACTTTGGTCTTCTTCTCGTGTAGTCCAGTGCCTTTGATGTCATCCCCCATCCTCTGTGGCAGGGGGAAAGGTGGGATCATCCATGCTGTCAGTGGCTTGGGTTACCATACATACATAACAGTTGCCTGTTTTTAAAAGTTGTGATCCTTCCATATTTTGTCTCTGAAGATGCAGCAGTTTAGGCTGCGAAACACTTTGAACTTGGAATCTTCAAAGAAATGCACGTGCATTGGAAGACAAACTATATATAAGTCTCTTTTAGCATCAAAGGGTGCAATGTTTTTAGAAATGTGTATGAAATTGCGGAAGTACATCTAACACAACTAATTATGATTTATTTAATTGTAACCAATTAAAATTGTGGATACAGTACACTAATTGTGTTGTTTCTGCCTCTAGTACAGTGCCTTTATAGTCCCTCTTTTTGTTGGAATCAATTGGTTCCTATGTGTGTTTTTATGGATGAGGCACCATACGCTCCTCTCTAAAATAATAAAAAAAAAAATTATATATATATATATATATATATATATATATATATATATATATATATATAATGGCCAGTTAGCATATTGTTGCAACAAGTGGAGTCAGAATTTCTAACACTTGTCCTGGAGTAGCATATCTGACTACTGGATTGCATGATTGGCAGGTAGCTAGGATGGCTGCTTCCACTAGGCAAACTAGGCAGCCACTTAGGGCACACTGCCACATAGAGGCGCCTGGGCGCAGCACAGGCTGGCACTCTCTCTGTGTAGGATGCCACTACGTCATGAATGATCCTCCAGCTGAGAGAGGGGCGACAGAGGGGAGGAAGAAAGGACAGAAGAAGATGCTGGGTGTCTGGGGCCAGTTTAGAAGCTAAGCTGCTGCTCCTTCCAGTGTTCCCCTCAGACTCAGTCCCTTACTGGAAACCAGCTGGCGGCTGCTGATCACTGTGGAGTTCCAGCCCTTCTCTTCCCATTCATCAGTGGAGGCAAAGCTGTGTCTGCAGAAGAAGGTAATGTCTGACTCTGATGTCTCGTAACTGTGTGAGTGTGGCCCAGCCAGCCGGGCGGCCATCTATTACATTCGCAATGTGTCAGTGAGTGATGACATCATCACAATCCCACAGCCTGCTCTTCTTGTGCCTGCTGATCTGTGTCAGATCTGTCACTGTGTGGGATCGCTCAATTCAGGTGTTTTGTGTGTGTGTGGACTGGGCTGCCTGTTGTCACAGTGTTTTATCTCCCCCCCCATTTCCTGGGGAATTCCAGCCTGGGATCTGTCAGAGTGTGGATCCATCACCCTCCACTCACTGCAACTGTCACCCTGCCACTTCCAGCCACAGATACAGTCTGTGACACTGATTTTGTCTTTAATATTGGTGCTGGTGGCACTTATTTTTGCAAATTAAAATAAATGCAGTTTCATGTTTTGTTGATTTAATATTTTCTACTATTTTAAATTTTTTTTTTTGGGGGGGGGGCGCAAGTAGCTGGTCTTGCCTGGGGCGCAAAATAGTCCAGCAGTGGCCCTGCAGGTATCTAGTATTTTTAGGTGGGGTCAACTATGGCGGCCCATTTATTTTTCTTAGCACAAGTTTTTTCCCCAAGAAAACCAATTTGGATGCATATTATGGTGGTTTTTAGTTCTGTTTCCCACTAGAGGGCAGACAGTGACTGACAAACACTTTCCAATCAGGTAGTATAAAAGGCTGGGACTTGCATACAAATGAATATATCTGAGTGCGGTGAACTAGCTCTGACCCTGAACAGGTAGACACCTCCATTTTGATGGGTTTTCCTGTTTTATATAGTTATATAATATCTAATACATACGTTTATACAGGCCACTCAATAAAAGGCCTGAAGAGGCCTGCACTGTGTAAAAGGAAAGTGTAGGGTATACTATAAAAGGGACTGACATGGCCAACGATGGTTTGTACAGGTAAGAACACCATCTAGGCCTCCAGCCAAACGGATGACTACTGTAGCTTATGTTGTGTTTTATGTTCTCTAAAGGAACAGGGACTCTGGCATTCTTCCAACTCAGACAACACAGCAGTATCTGCAGAAAAACAAAGTCTCTTTTTAATAAAAGCCAACAGTTGCTGTGCTGATGTTTAAATGTTAATATTTGAGCAGTTGTTTTTGAGAGCTGTCTAATGCACTTCTATGTACCTATTTGGCAGGAGTCGCTGTAGGACCTCACTGCATTGCTGACAAATGGAAGAAGGGAAAAATACTAGCACCACAGTGCACCGACTAATCTGATGGGGTTAATGCAAAACACACAAAAGCCTCACTATTCCTTTGTCTCTGTAAAATCCCACTTAAAACTCAATGAAGATCACAGATTACAGGTGGAAATGACAGTGCACTTTAGAAATTTGTTACACTAGACTGGGGACAATGAATCTCTGATGATATCCAACACTGCGATGGGCTACAGAATGCATATGTCAGAAGTTAAAGGGTACGTTCACCTTTTATAACATGTTACGTTACACTCGTGTTCAGGATGTAACAGTACTAAATCTGCAGCCCTTGCACCCCCCCCCCTCAAGCCCCCATTGTGACAGTGGGTGGGAGATCCTCTCCCCCCATCCGCTGTCACAATTTACCATCAACCATTGCGGCTGACAACTTGTAGTTCTCAAACAACGAGGGTGCTGGTGAGTGCCCTAGTAATGAATTGATTGTTTCTGCAATTAAGGAACAACCTGCCTATATGAGGTCGGGGCAGACAGCTACACTGACAGTGTGCCGCAGCTTGACACTGCAGATGTGAGCTACTAATCGTGAGTGCAACGCTTTACAGGCTTCTAATTAAAAAAAAAATTAATGAACATTTTTTCAACTGCAAAAACGTGCATTTATTTTCTTTAAGCCTGGATTCACATATATGCAGTGCGGTATATCGCATGTGATTCGCACAGGAACTGCACCGCATTCCTGTGCCAATTACATGTGATTTGTGTGCGGTGCGATTGGAGCCTTACATTTTGTATCGCTCTAATCGCACCACACCCGCACCAAAAAGGTGCAAGACCCTTTTTTGGTTCGCACAATAATCAGATCGCACGGGTATTCAGACCTTTGCGATCCAATTGTGCCAAATGCATCGCATTTTGCAGACCGCTTTCGTGGTGTTGTTAACATACACACCCGCAGCAGTTCGCATGAACGGGGTGAGATCTGATGTGGTGCGGAAATCACACAGAAAATGCTGCGAATTCCGCACCACATCAGCGTGAACCAGGGCTAAAGGTGAATTTAGCCTGTAGGCTCCATGCTCACTGGGCGTTTTAATAATGCTGGGTAACGTTAGCTGTGTAAATTCACGTTAAAAACATGAGTTTTTCAGCGTTTTTGCATTAGCATTTAGCCGCGTTTTTTTTAGTAATTTTACTAGAAATTAAAAATTTACTAAAAAAATTTCCAAAAATGCTAGTTTGCTGCATTTTACTGCATTAAGAGCATTTTTACAGCTAAAAAAAAACTCCTCTAGAAACCCACTAGTCCTGGGGGTTTTTTTCTAGCCAAAAAACATTGATTACAGTCTATGTGTGCATGGACACATAGGAAAACATGCTGGGGAGTTTACTGGCTGTAGAAAAAAATGCCAAAAGCCAAAAACAGCAGTTGTATAAATGTCCAGTGTGCATGAGGATCTAAAGTCCTGCTCCCCCCCCTATCTGTTATGTTCAAGGATGCACAGAAAGGGGTAGTAAATCCTTTTCCTATACCTTACTCCTTGCTCTAGTGGGGTCTGTCTAGC